GACGATATTTGCTTAAGATTCTCGAGTCTAGAATAATGTCGTTTATTCGCGCATTGTCAACTTTCCTTTCGCAGTGTCCGTAAACTAAGCCTACATACGTAGCTCTCAGTTACCCTTTGCATTTGTGAGATGCAAAGAGTCGGCTGCTGATTCTTTGGATATGCGTGCGATACAATAGAAGGGGCTTCCTCCCCCCCCCTCTCCCTCATCGTTCTATCCCTTTTCTTTTCGTTTTTATTGTCAAAGCGATGTGGCTGTATTTCAAAGTACCAACGCATCGCTGATCGAAGGAATCCGACAAAGTCTGTATTATTTTCTAAGTTTGTACTACCAATGAGATGCCATACATACACAGACACATTTATACATATGCAGCACATATTCAAAAGAGCCCTGTATATGTTTAGTCATGATTTCATTCTTGCATTCCCTATAAAAAACATGCTACATCCATATATATATATATATATATATATATATATATATATATATATATATATATATATATATTACTGTAAAACTATTTAAATGACAATATGTTCTTATACATTCCTTTATGCGTACAAAATGTACTCTACATATCAGTATCTCGGAACTCGCGATACTATATCTAACGCAAATAGCAAATTACAAACACAGACACTTTTGATAACGGATATAGTGCTATAAATTCGATTTTTTTTTATTTATATTACGAACTGTAAACGCTCGTATTCTCATCTTATATGTTCATAATTATTACTATCTTATTTTTTCTTTCTTATTTTTTTATTATATCTTTATCTGTGATACAATCTTGTGCTCCTACTATCATTTCATGATTATTCTTAGTTTCTTTTAATTATTATTGAATCGTCTCATTAACATCAATTATCTTTTCTAATTAGTGTTAAACTTTCTCTTGCAACGGATATAATATTATTCATAGTTATTTATTTACTTTATAAACAAAATAAAGAATTGAAATTAATTAAACTTTGTTTAATTAACAAAATACTTCAGTATTATAGATTAGAAAAAGCATATTTATATTTTAAAAAAGCATATTTATATTTTATAGGCGCGCGATATGACACCCGACCGATGCCATGGTTTCACGGTATATCCGCCGTCAGTTTTTTATCCGATTCATTATAAAAAATGGAAGAAATATTTCGAGACGAAAGACAGCAATGCGACTTTGAAGACGTTGAGCAAGGCGAAGGCGATTCACGTGTGGAATAAATTGAGTAAAGCCGAAAAAGTGCGAGTAAACAGCAACGTACCGTACGCCATTATTGCGCAGAATTATTGTCCTTATATTTTCAACAATTGTGGTAAAATATTTTAAAGCCAAGTATAGAATAAAAATTGTAACGCTTATTGACCGATGAAGCACGGGAAATACATTCCACATGCGACATTTGCAAGATAGATTATTTGATAGAATCGAAAAAAAAAGACGATGACATTTGTCATGTCGGATAAAATGCATTTAACGAGACAAAGGCTGATTTAGAAAAGTATTCCAATCACTCTGCTTTTTCCGTGAATATATATGAAGAATATATTTATAATGTCTGACGAGAAAAACAGTGCCATTTTAAATATATATTACTAAATAAATTATAAATATTTAATTAATAAATATTAATAAATTACTGTACAATATGATGAAGCTGTAACGTGGACGTATACGAAGGTACATTGAAGACAATGTAATTTCGTTGTTAGTCAGATGTTAATGCCTACCATACTGATCGCTTGTACATACAATAACAGAAATAACAGATTCTTGTTCTCCTGTTATGGAGACAGAAAAATCTATTTTTACATTAAAGAGACTCGTCAAACGTATTTTTCCCATTTGAATAAAAATGAAACAATTCTGTTCATTTCCATTACATAAAGTTTTCTAAGATAAAATGCATAAAATAATTTAAGAGCTTGAGAAAATTTAAAAAGATGTTATTTGAAAACCGAGATTATTAATTTCCATAATATTACACAAATGTAGTTATACAACATTCAATTTTATTTACATCTTAAATTGATATCCGTTTTATATTAAATACGTTACAAATTGTTCTAGTCGATATAATAGTGTTGTGTCTAATTATAAGAGCTCCATATATCCGCCTCTTATTATATAACGTCAGCGGGACTGGAATTGATAAATCCAATGGAGTCTCGATCCCTAGTCATAAAAAGGAGATGTAAATAAAAGTTGTATTGGAGATATCGTTTATACGAGAATTGTGCAAAAGTATCAAAATATTTCGAGCATGAGTTCCGTCTATCAGAAGACCGTCCCAAATGTAACTTCTTAGAAAAATAAAAATAGCTCTTTCAAACTTAGGGATATCAAGGAAGATTATTTGTTCATCATTCTGATTTCCACGGCTTTCGCGAAAAATAAATTTAACATCATTAAGGAAATTTAACATCATTAAATTTAACATCATAAATTTTATTGAATAGAAAAAAAACGTTAATAACAGCAAATTAATAAAATATTCTTTTTTTGATTCCAGTCAACTTTATCATTTATTCGTATCTCTTCCTTTAAAATAGCCCATTGGCAACAATCAATCTTTATTGGATTTATAATTCGATTGAATTTATATGAGAAGATGCGAACATACGAAGCTCATGGACGCAATAATAGTATATTAATTGATAAATTAAATTTGTTAAAATGGAAACAATATAAGAGTATAAAAAGAGGCTGTTTAACAATATGTAATGTATGTACTATTGTTGTTGTCATCTGTCTTGTAATATGTAACAAAAGATGCATATTGGATAATTGTTATATATACAAAGAAAAAAATGGATCCATTAGTACAAATTAAAAAATAACCAATTGTTGCTGCAATTGTTGCAATACGATCAAAGAATTTGGCATATAATGATGATAGTAAATTTTATGAATTAGAAAAACTTAATTAAAACTAAACTTTAGAAAAGTTTAGTATTTAGTTTCAAATTAATTTCCTCAAATTCTTAAAATAAAATGGATCGTTGTTATGGATCGAATCTTTTGATTGTATTGTATTATAGATATAAATATTAATGTTATTGTTATGCAATAATAATTCGCTATATATAAAAACAAGCAGTTTAAATATCAGATCTTAAATATCATAACTTTTCTTATTTTTTGTAAATGACTTTGCAAATCATGAGCGATGATGTATTAATATTAGATTCATTTCATTTTAGCTTTTCGTCAAATTCAATGCAAACGTTGATCTTATGGCTGTGCAACATTTTATTTTATGATCGAAAATAATGACATAAAGGAACATATATGCACTTATGAATAAATTTACAGAGATTTTTATCTGCACAAACGCAGATATAAATTTATGTATATGTAAATATAAATACGTACATATATATATATATATATATATATATATATA